CCATTCCATTTTCAAATTTGACTTTTTTTAAAAAGCCATCTCATGATTGGTAATATTGGTTCTTTCAAATGCCACCAAATGCGAGGGTGTACATTTATCTTAATATACTTAAAATAAATAAAAAACAATAATATATTTCGAAAATACAATATAGGATTGCGTTTATTTTTGCAAAAACTACAAACCAAGCAATATCCATAATCATCATGTCCATCGGGTACATAGTATTGTGCATCTTGTCATTCAATGGTAGACATCTTATTCAAGCAATTCCTAAAAAAAATTTCAATTAATAATTAGGTACTTTCAATACTATACGATTCAAACTAAATTAAGAAGAGGAAATTAAGTTTTGAAATTCTTTTCACTTAGTGAAAACGGAAAAAAATATCTATTTCGGTGTTAAAAAAATAACGTAATGAATCATTATACTTATAACGGAAACAGTCAATAGGATCAATAAATTAAAATAATTTTTGTACCTTTTGTTTGGTGACGCAGGAGACAGCAAGAAATGTTCTTTCACATCCCTTGACCCCATCACTCACTTTTTCATCGTTTACTATAAAATAAATATTGTTATTATTAACAAGTATTTCAATATTTTTATACAAGAAAACAAATCAAATACTATAATTTTAATAATTTTAATTGATAGGTATACCATAATTCAATAACGCCCACAATGTGAAACTATTGGAAAGTCAGTAACTGCAACGGTTGTGCTTTTATTGAATTTTTATATCATTAATCATGTTATTAGTTCAGTGTCGAAATCGATTTCAATACTTGCGCGGAGAAGCGACGACCCTAATCTTACTTATGTGTTTTTACTCTGTATTTTTAATCTGTTACAAAGGAAGATGCACGTACGGTTCACTTGACATAACAACAAATTATACATTTTTGATCGAAATAACGCTCAATGGATATAATTAATTTATGGTAGGTATTAAAACATTTGACATATTCGTGTATGAAGTAGTTGGCTAAAATAAACTTTTGTTTTATAATATCAAGTGACACGACGACAAGTAGTGCGCCTGATGGTAAGCTATACGCGTGTTGTAAAGATCTGAGGGGCCTGCCACTGCGCCCGTAACCCTGTGGCATATGTTGACAACTCCCATGTGCCTGTCATTTCACCACCTGTTGTATGTTTTACAAACTGTTGATTAAACAACTTTCAATCTAACATATAGATAATATAACGTACTTTTTATAAAAGAATTGGGACATAAACTCTACATAAATAAACTAATGATTAATGTACTGAATAAACTTTTACTCTACTAGAGCTACGCTATTAAAGACACCAAAAACAATATTTCCCTTGACGATACAGAGATCTTGCACAAATTCAAAAATTCTCGTTTGACATTTTTGTGTTGCTTTCAAACTTTTTTAAAATACATTCAGGATGACTTGACAGAAATTGATATATATTTGAATGAAAAAGCATATGCTTCATAGCCATTAGTATAAAAGCAGTGTCATGTGAGTAGCTTCAGTTTGCTTAATAAAGAATGTAAGTTAATAATAACAATAAACTTTTTGGATTACATTCTAACTCTTAAGGCGGAATAAAGATCTGTTTTATTTAAAAATGGGATAAAAAAAGTTCAATTTAAGTTCATCATCATCAACCCATTTATACGTCCCACTGTTTGGCACGGGTCTCTTCTCAGGCGAGGGTTTATTTAGACCATAATCCGCCACGTTGGCCCAATGCGGGTTGGAGACTTCACACGTTTTCCGAGGGTTGTGAACCTTCTTCAACGTGCAGGTTTCATCACGATGTTTACCTTCATTGAAAAAGTCATGGTAGATTTTTTTTTTATTTCTTTTCTTTTTTGATAATAATAGCATTTACATTTTGTTTTCTTGTAAACATGAAATATTATCGAGTTATTATGTTTTTGCGATTGGTACACATTGTTTTGTTGTTTGTTTCGTATCTATATGAAATATATTTGTTATAATTATTAATAAAAAGATCGAACAGACCTGTAAGAAATCTACGAGTTTTCCTCACTCAACCAGGTACATTTACACCTACCACAGGCTGACAAGAGATGTCGCTTTATGAATTGTAACATTGATTGTAAGTAATTAATACTATGATGTTTTACCAATAATTTATTTTTGTCATATTAATCCACTAGTTTGTCATAATTATAAATACAATGATCGAAAACAAAGAAATAATCCTTCGATTTTATAGAATACGAACCTGCGTGTCTGTATGCCAATCTAGAACAACTTTAGCATACCAACACTAGTTCGAGTCTTGTGAGCCTTTGTGTTCGATCTTTGTCTTTATTAACCGACTTCAAAAAAAGGAGGAGGTTCTCAATTCGACTTTTAGGTTTTTTTTGTATATATGTTACTCGATAACTCCGGTATTTTTGAATCGATTTTCGTGATTCTTTTTTGTTGGAAATGGGTACCTCCATAGTGGTTCCATTTAATTTTGAAGAAAATCATCCACCTCTAAGGGTAACTAGGGGATGAATGCGGGCTTGCGCACTTTCCGGTAACCAATTTCAACAAAACTTGGTAATTATATTTAATTCCACGTACTTTTCAGGTCGGGTTTTTTAGTACTCTGTATTGAGAATATACTTATAACAAAGTAGTGGAGTAATTTTACAAAAATAAATGAATATCGTAGCAGTGAAACATTATAATATTCATTACAATCAACATCGAATATATTAGTTCTTACAAAAACAAACCAACGTTTCGGGCCCTTTTATTGTCAGAGCGTTTGCGAACTACGTCCGATTCAACAGTTCCGAATCCGAGAAATGACGGTCCGAAATGTCACAGAGGTCATTTTATCTCTAGGTGTACTAGCGATATTAATATATAAAATTTAAAAACAAGCAAAAGAAAAAATGATACAATACAAAAAGGTGAGATGGCGGTATAAGGTGGTCACACCGTCACACTGCTTCTCTCAGCTGACAAGGTTAAAGAGCCCAGACGTTGGTTTGTTCGGATAATAATCTAAGTACAGAGTACTAAAAAACCGACGTCAAATTTCCCCTAGAAAAATTCCCAAAAATCCCCTAGTTTGCTAACCTTAGAAGTGGAATATTTTCTTCAATTTTATCACGTCTGAGGTACAAGAATCATCAAAATCGGTTCACATATCCGTGAGCAGGAGCTATCGCGTAACATACACACAAAAAAAACATACAGTCCAATTGAGAACCTCCTCCTTTTTTTGAAGTCGATAAAAAAATGTGCTTAGATCAGAAAAATATTTTCATTTTCAATTATGAAATATAATTTAATTGAAAGTCAAAGTGAACTCAGACTCGAGATTCATTAAAAAACCAAAGTTGTTGTCATAAGTAGCTATTTTCAACATTTTCATTTGCGTGGATTGACGCAATAAAGAAACATTGGTCCATGTGGTCCATACCCTATTTTATCTAATTCATGGTAGGGTATATAATATACTCATAAAATCACAATACGATATTCAACGCAACTTAGAAGACTATGACAAGCAGATAAAAAATTTTATACCAACTAACCTGAAATACAAGATTTTGCGATGGTTTCCAAAGTCTTGTAATCCTCAAGGTTTTTAACAAGTCCCACCAATATTTCAAGTACTTTATCTAAGTCAAATTTACCTTCTCCGTTTATCTGGAATATAAAACGCTCACATTATAGTTGTGCTAAATTTTCTTTTTTTTTTTCATTCGCGGGTACCATGGACACACACATACACAACCATAAATTACACCCAAACTCACGAGAGAAATAAATGTAGGCTATATAAATATTTCTACTGGCCCGGGAATCGAACCCGGGACCTTTGCGTGGCAGTCCAGCATGGTAACCGTTCGGCCACGGAGGCACGGAGGCAGTTAAAAAATTTTTATAGAGTTATAGTTTAAATGAAGAAAAGAGCATTGTGGTACGAAAGATGATGTAGTGATAAAGATAGAGAGATGCTTCGATGGTTTGGTTATGTAGAAAGAATGAATGTTGGATATTGTTTTTCATAGAAATTATGATAATTTTGAGGTATGTTGCATTAATTACTGAGCACCCTATTCAAGCATCTATACACTTTGCTAATAATATAAAGATTACAATCAACAACTTAGTAGGTGCATACAGTGTTTTTTTTTTATAATATTAAGTGACCGGACGAACTAGTCGTAAGCCTGATGGTAAGCTACACGCCTGTCCATAACATACAAAAAAATAGTCGAATTGAGAACCTCCTCCTTTTTTGAAAAAAATCTATAATAATCTCAGTACAGAGTACTAAAAAAACCGACCTCAAAAGTACGTGGAATTACATATAATTACCAAGTTTTATTGAAATCGGTTACCGGAAAGTGCGCAAACCTGGATTTATCCCCTAGTTCGCCACTATACGGGACGTGACACAGGAGATAATAAAAATCGGTTCTCACTATTGAAAGTACATTGAGAGAGAAAAATGCCTTGAATTCGAGAATAGCAAAATCAACCATTAAAATAATTGCTCCTTATAATAAAATTTAGGCGCTATTTATAAAAATGAATCTTCATGTGAGTACACCCACCCTTAGAGGTGGATGATTTTCTTTAACATTAAATGGGACCACTATGGAGATACCCTCTTCCAACAAAAAAAGAATAATGACAATCGGTTCCCAAATACAGGAGTTATCGCGTAACGTACATCCAAAAAAAAAACATAAGAGTCGAATTGAGAACCTCTTCCTTTTTTTGAAGTCGGTTAAAAATCAGCCCTTTAACATTTTCTATGGTTTTTATTTCGTGATTTAATTCCAATGTTCAGAAACATTTTCACATCGCTATTCACATATAATGCACAAAGGCTCTATAACACTTACCACACCCATCTTCTTTGCAGTACATGTAAAGAGGCATTTATCTTTATCCTGAATATCACTAGGTTTTAGGTGCTCCAAATCCAGATTTAACTCTTTAGCGCATTCACTCAAATATCCTTGACCATACTCCGTAAGTGCCGTCTCACTTTCTGCACTAAGACGGGCCTAAAATTTAATTTAAAGTTTTAGTCTAGAATATACGAGAACTTAATATTTTTAAAAAGAAATAATATTTTCAAGAAAGCTATGAGAACCGAGTCAGTAAAAAAATAGTTTTTGTAATTCTGACAATCCGTACCTCACGCGATCTGGGATTTTATTTTAGGGTCGCCTCAGATCATCGCAGCCAGGCGACATTTCGGCGGCGATGCGATGCATTAAAACGAGCAGTGTAACATATACTGAGTCTCTTACATGATAAGGTTACAATTTCTTTAAACAAAAAATGAAAGACAAGATACAACAAGCGGTGGCGGGCGGCATCGAGTTACGCCTGGCAAATTTTATAAAATGCATAATCCATAATGCATTTCCTATTAAATAAAGAATACATTTCTTCCTACAAACGAGTATAGCCGCAGCGCGGTGCAGACCTCCGCGACAATACAAATTGTTACATAGCTTCTCAAAAATAAGGTATATTTCCTTGAAAGCCAGACAACGACTGAGTGACATTAAGCTGCGGCAATTTAAGACGACCCTTTACTGTACATGGGATACCTTTTACTCCGAGAAAGGGGTCACAAGGACAATAATATGGGACACCTACGAATAAAGGTAGGTATAATCAAAAGATTTTGAAAGTCAAGTGGGACTTACTTTAACATTTCTTAGTGACACAACCAAAACAGCCAAACACAGAACGTATTTCATTATCATTTTGTGGCTACTATTTCCAAGAGCAAATGACTGACGAGACTGCGATAATATGCTCGCTGTATGCACCTTACACATATTTATGTACGAAGTTTGTTATTTCGACCATAACGACACATATAGAACAATTTATTATTGATACTCTCTGAATAAATAGGTAATGTCGACAATTGCCTTGCAAATCACTCATGTTTTCATTATCTATATTTTAACAATGCCACAGTGTCAGGAAACGTGATTATCGAGCAATCAAAAAAGGATTAACAATTCAGATTTTTTTTCAGATTTTGTTCTTACTGCTTTATTCAGAACATTTTAGCTAATGGTAAATAAACAAATGTAGTAAAAATGTCATGCGTCTGGTGCCAATATGGTAAGCAACAAGCCCGCACATAACAGTGCCACTCAGAGCTTTAAATCGCAAAGATCTTAGGGGCACTGTCACTGCCCCCATCACCCTAAGTTGACAAGTCTCATGTGTCTGTATTTTCACCTTTACCTTTCAAAACCGAAATACATTAATGCTCACATTACTGCTTGGCGGCAAAAATACTACTTTATCTTAAGCCGGGTTTTCACTATATGAGCACACTCCGACCAAGTCCGCTCGGATGACTACTCGGACGCTACTTGTAACGTACTGTTATATCCCAGCCCTACTACCTAAACCACTAGAATCAGCCCTGCCATTCCTCCTAGTCAGCATTCTTCTTTGAACATCACTAAAACTCTATAGAAAGCAGTTCAGTTCCTTCCAAACTCCTGTCGTCTAAACACGTGCCAATTCAATTTCTATTTTTTTTATACTATTTCTTTATTCTACTGTACTTAATTACCATTTTTTACCGAATTACACAATTTCGGGAATATTTTTTTTTTTAAAAAGACTTACTACGCCACGTATAACAGTATGAGTTGCGTCCGAGCATACGTGATACGAGCGCACTCGGACGTCGGCATCCGATCAGAGTGCGGACGCGATTCTTTTCTTACGTGTATGCTTGAATCATTTTATGAAAATACAATGCGATCAACAAAGAAAAAGTGGAATGAACGTGACAATCTGAGGTTTTAAACGTGTTTTTATCTTTCTCTTCTACTTCTCGAATAAAATTATTTGAAGTATTCGGTTAGTCACATCTTAAAATTCATTTTCTGTATTAATTAAATTTTTATTGAATTGATATTCAATTATTTTTTGTGAAATTACTCCACTAGTTTGTTATAATTAAAAGTTAAAGATTTCTCATAGATGGCGCTACGACTAAAAAGTCGTTGAAAGACCAAGTACAAAGACACGACGCAAGCACATAGAAAAATTCGTGAGGTCCGTTGGTTCGTTCCGTGGCTTAGTTGGTATAGCGTCTGGCACGGTATGCAAGAAGACATTGGTTCGAATCCGACCGGATCGAGGGAATTTTTTCTGAGTGTTTTTTTCTGAGTGTTCGATCTTTGTATTAATAATTATTCATTTTCTGGTTTGAATGATTTTTTACTCCAGCGTATCTGCTACAACTCATATATAATAGTAATAACAATAATAACGCACAAACTCAACATAGCCCCGCACTAGGGAAATCCTGTGTCGCGGGTGCCATGGACACACACATAGACAACCACGAATTACACCCAAACTCACGAGAGAAATAAATGTAGGCCATACAAACATTTCTCCCGGCCCGGGAATAGAACCAGGGATGTCTGCGTGGCAGTCCCGCATGGTAACCGTTCGGCCACGGAGACAGTTAAATATATACCTCGCAGCAGCACATCAATCAAATCGTCATCATCTTGATTGTGCAAGGAGCTAAACTACTTGGACACTGATGAAATCGTAAGGTGTAAACCAATATCCGAGTGGACTCCTATACAATCTAATAACTCGTACTCGCGCACTTGCTCCGAGAGTACTATTATAGTGAAAACCTGGCTTTATTGCAAGTCATTACATTTGACATTACGTGAACTAACTTAATGTAGACCAATCTATAAGTAGGTATTGTAAATCTCTTTTTGGCAGTTAGATGTCGCTCAACGTTACAAAAGTCAGAAACTGGCTGTTGTAGACATATGTCAGTCTGGTTACATGTACTAATTAGTCGTATTGTCGCCTTACTTTCTCAAACTCGTATCTTATAGTGATTATTCCGGAGGAACTATCTGTTTATTTTAAATTTCTTATCAAGGGTGTTAATTTGGATGCATTATTTTAAGAATATGTTTTTACATAAAAACACTTTTTACATATTTAAACAATGTTTTTATATGCGTGTTTAAATTAAAAAAAAACGTGTGAAGAAAAAGCGATATGAAATCAGAAAATTTGTATATACAATCCATTTTTTGCATTTCAGTAACGTTGTGCTTTAAGATACGAGTTTGAGAAAGTAAAGCGACGATATGCGAGTTTCATTTAAATATGATTTTATTTCTTAACGACGACAGACCTATACTATAATTTGAAAAATCTAATAAAGTTATTTTATTCAAACTTGTAATTATGACGTTTGAAGACGCTCCAGAATTTCGCCTTTGTTCGTTGACTGCGCATATTAATACCTATTTAAATGAAAAATGCTTGAGAAAAGAGTCAAGATAAATATTCAACAATACCTCGTACATCAAATTTATTTAACAGTTCAAGGTACATATTAAGCGAAAGACGGACCCGCTATTATACAGACATGCATACTCTCGAAAGGCATTACCCGTCTTCTGGGACACCTGGGGTTATAAAAAAACCGTAGTCGGTAAAACAAAATCTTTTACTTTTGGTAAAATGTACAATTTTATCCGACCTTGGTCATATTTTCCGTAAAAAAAATATAACTGTCTTGCCACATTGCTATGTATTTTATATGTATATAAAATACATTGTAGGGATCAGGAAGAGCCTTTGCTTAGTAGTGGCATACATCAGGCTAAATGTAATGTAATGTAATGTAATACTGTAGGACGACCGATATTAAGTCAGTACTAACAATTAACCAAACGACTTGTCAATATAGCATTACTATTTTCGTCTAATCGTTTGATAAAATTGTATGTACAAAATTTCTAATATCGGTAACATTTTTGGTTATAACTATAATCTAATTGTGGCAAGGAAGATAACTGTTATCACAAGTTTTAACAACAATCCTCCCAATCAACCAAACGATTATCAAAGAATTTCTGCTTTGTCTTAATTAATTAGTTTTGACAATTCGACGGCCCTACTGAATACACGTGTAAAAGCTTTTATGTAATTTTTTTATAGCATTTTTTCCCACACAAAATACAACTTTTTCAGATTTATTTTCCAATTAATTTTATAATTATTCGGTACTCCAATGTTTATTCTACGGAAAATAAAATCAACTATCTGGCTCGAATATTGCAAAAACATATTTTGCACCCTATCTACACTTGCATGTTTATAACAAACTAACAGGGTAATATTGTTAATGCGAATCTTTAAAAGGCTTTAAAATTGTAAAGCGTGTTTGAACTTTTCAAATATAAGACCAATTACCAGAATAACCATGAACTTATATAATATTTGCATTGACAAATCTTAATATCCATAGTAAAACAGCTTAATATTATGTTATATTTTAAAGTAAATAATATATAAGTTTTCCCGCGAATAATAGTTTAAATACTACAAAGTAATTTTTACTAGAATATTAATTTAAAAGGGTTTTTTAATCTATCCTGTAAAGCTGCACTTTTTCCTTTATACGTTTATTCGGTGGGACTGTCAAATTTATATTATACTGTGATATAACTTTACGCAAAGTGGTGGTTGAAAATGTAATGGCCTTGTCAAGAACCCTATTGGAACTTCACGCAGAGAATGCACGCCATATAACCAGGTTCTAATCTTCCGGTGTGAGGTAACCAACGAATCTTACTGTTTGCCTATTTATCAAAAAACATCGTTGGTCTAAAGCAGCAAATTTCTTTTTCTTCTCCTTTTTTTTAGGACACATTGGCAATGGAGGCCGCCTAGGTGGTTGTGGTTGCAGTATTGGAGGAGGACCAAGTGGCGGTAAACATTGTGGCTTCTTTGCAGTTGCAGTTTGTTCATCCGCTTGACTAGCGGTCGGCGTAAATACTTTACTACCATGATAGTAATCTCTAATACAATAACGAAGATATTGCCTTCGCTTAACATAATTTGACATTAGGAGAAGAGGTCTTTCTGTCGTTGGCAAATGATTAGAAGATCTCATCGCGAACACTATATTCTTTTCAATAGATGTTCTTTCAAATAAAACGACGTTTGGCTCTGCTATACGTTGTTCTGTGAATTTGTCGTTAACAAGATTTTCATTAAAATCTCCTTTTTCATAACCGTAAAAATGTACGGGTAAGTATGTCATACTATTCGTCTCACTATTTGAAATGTTTGTAAGCTGAGGGGTATTGTCACGATTTTCAGTTATTTCGTGGCTTTTTTTCTTTCTGGTACTCGTGGTTTTTCTTACGAATCTGTCCTTGTCAGCCTGCCGATTTTCCTGTACCCGAATCGAAGATTGATCTTGGCCTTTATCTATATTTCGAAATGAACTAAATGTTGGTGTACTGCATAGTTTACACTGGTCCAACACTGGCACTATTTGTTGAGTGTAAACATGACTTCTTAAGTTTTTTGTATCGCATTTCTTAACGTTTGTTTCAATCGAATTAACTGGAAATAAAAAAAAGGATACATAAACGCGAACTAAAATCACAAAATTTACTTTTTCATTACAAAAGTTGAGGTGTGAGGAAAATGTTGATCAAGAGGTTTTTGTTGACTGTAGGTAGCTAAAGTGTCTATTAACGACCTCATGGTTGCGAGATGGGAATCCCGATAAGACCAGAAAAGGAACTTTTCTAAATTGATCTTGGGTAGAGTCCCGGAGGGAATTCCGTTGCTCTATTGCTCATATGGTGGTTTGGCATATTATTATTATTCAAGGGGTTTGTATGTTTCAAACAAGAAATTTTAAATTATCAGACAAACAAAACAAATTCATGATAAATTTTGCAAGTATAGCAGCGCTTAATCGT